ATACTCTCTCTACAGAAAGTTGTATTTGGCCTCACTTGGAAGCTGTATGTGGCATGTATTTTATAACTGTATTTGCTGTCTTTTTAGAAACACCTAAAGGTTACAATTAGCTTTACAAATTTCTCAAAAAACTTTTTTTCGTAAAATACTTTTCGTTACTTTTTAATGTCTTTTCTCGTTTTGCAGTTTTTAGCACTAAAAAGCCTACTACTTATTTTTATTTGATAAAAGTGAAATTTTGCTCATCAAAATTTGTATTTCTTAATTCGGTATTAACCTGTTTTAGCTATCTAACCCGAACATTTTGGACTTCTACGGCCTACGGTTATCCTTTTACTAGCTGCATCCCGTGCTCCGCCACGGTAAATCTTTTTAAAATATACCAACTTTGGAACAGAACAAAACAAACAAAAACACAACACAAACACAAACAAAACACAACCACAACCACAACACAACCACATTACAACCACAACACAATCACAACACAACCACAACACAACCACAACCACAACACAACCACAACCACAACCACAACCACAACACAACCACAACCACAACACAACCACAACCACAACACAACCACAACCACAAAACACGGTAAATCTTTTTTAAATGTACCAAGTTGGGAACAGAACAAAACTAAATACAACACAAACGAACGCAAAGAAAAAACAAAAACGAAAAAACAAACACAACACTCAACATAAACTCAATTTAAATGTAATCATAAAGGCATATTGCTCACAGTCTATCCCGTAGCGCCAAATCAGGCCCTTTCCGAGCGCCGGCGGAAAATTTCGATTTACACCCTCCCACCTCCCTCAAACTTTCGATTTCCACCCTCCCCCCCCCCTCTTGCTACGCCTCTGTTATAAAACCCCTAGCTTTTCCGCAAATAAATTAAAGGCAGTATTTAGAATATCCGTGTTTTACCGACCTTATTGCACTTTATAAATTCATGCATTTTTTTCAGTACTTTTAAAAATTTACAATAAAGTTTCATGACTAAAACCATTGCGCACCTAATGAACGTGATGACTTAATATAGTAATGGAGAATAGTTGATTAAAAATTATAATTAGTAAACAGTACATTCAGTGAATAAAATAAATAAAAGATAGCCTTTTATCAATCAATGCTAATAATAATATTCCGAAAATAATGTACTCTTACACGTTAGCATAATTTGCATTCACATTTTGATAATTATATTATTCCAACAATTATTCCGTCTTGCAGATTTCGCATTCACATTTTTAGCATGAGTTCAATTTATCTTTGAATTACCTCCATTGGCAAAATTACTAAGCAGTTTAATTAGAATTTTCTACCGTACTGTTATTATGTTATTAATATGTATCCACTTTTTCTGGGAACATTAACGAAAACGATATTTGACATTGATCCTTTCAATATGTTTTAGCAATGTGTGTGTATTTAATATTCTCTTTACGTTATGCAAAATTGTACAAACAGTGGAAATTATAAAATAGCTCTATGCCGTTATATAAACAAACCCTACTCTATTACTTATAATAAGACACTGCGGTGCACTGAAAAGCACAGCATGGTGCGTAGTTTGGCGGTGCACTGAAAAGCACAGCATGGTGCGTAGTTTACTTTTATAGTCCCAAAATCTATAGCGATGACGGACGGAAGGACAGACACAGCTCGCTTATATTATAGACTAGCTGTATCCCGCGCTCCGCCACGGTAAATCATTTTTAAATATACCAACTTTGGAACAGAACAAAACTAAACACAACACAAACGAACAAACGCAAAAAAAAAAAAAAACAACGAAAAAACGAACACAACACTCATAACATAAACACAATTTAAATGCAATCATAAAGGCATATTGCTCACAGTCTAGCCCGTAGCGCCAAATCGCGCCCTTTCCGAGTCCCGGCGGACGCGTCTGACACAGTGAATGACTACAAAACAGAGGCGTTGCGACCCTTTCCGGCGCCCGGGGACAAACTTGCGATTTGACCCTCCCTCAAACTTACGATTTGCACCCCCTCCACTCAAAATTTCAATTTCCACCCATCCCCTCAGACTTTCGATTTGCACCACTTTTGATTTGAAATTCCCCCCGCTCAAACTTTTGATTTGCACCCCCTCAAACTTTCGATTTGCACCCTACCCCCCCTCCCCCTCCCTAAAACTTTCGATTTCCACCCCCCCCCCCCCTAGCTACGCCTCTCTTATAAAACCCCAGCTTGTCCGCAAACCGAAAGATAGAATAATAATAAATAATATACAATAAAAAATAGGCAATATCTATAATATCCGTGTTTACCTACCATATATCACTTTATCAATTCACGCATTTTTTCCCAGTATTTTAATTTTTAAAATTTACAATTGAGTTTCATAACTAAAACCATTGCGCACCCAATGTCTATAATGGTGCGGAATAGTTGATTAAAAATTATAATTAGTAAACAGTACATTCAGTGAATAAAAAGAAATAAAAGATAGCCTTTTATCAATCAATGTGCTAATAATAATATTCCAACAATAATGTACTCTTACACGTCAGCATAATTTGCATTCACATTTTGCTAATTATATTATTCCAACAATTATTCCGTCTTGCAGATTTTGCATTCACATTTTTAGCGTGAGTTCAATTTATCTTTGAATTACCTCCATTGGCAAAATTACTAAGCAGTTTAATTAGATTTTTCTACCCTACTGTTATTATGTTAATAAAATGTATCCACTTTTTCTGGGAATATTAAAGAAAACTATATTTGACATTGATCCTTTTAATATGTTTTAGCAATGTGCGTGTATTTAATATTCTCTTTACGTTAGGCAAAATTGTACAAACAGTGGAAATTATAAAATAGCTCTATGCCGTTACATAAACAAACCCTACTCAATTACTTATAATAAGACACTGCGGTGCACTGAAAAGCACAGCATGGTGCGTAGTTTACTTTTATAGTCCCAAAATCTATAGCGATGACGGACGGACGGACGGACGGAAGGAAGGAAGGAAGGACAGACACAGCCCGCTTATATTATAGATTATATTATAGATTGCGATGTGAAACATGAACTACGCGGACAGAGGCTATATTCGAGCGGGTTATTACATCTTATATTGCTCACGTGGCACCATATACATCAATCTATCTGCCAAGCACTGGTGTTACCACTATTGTAGTGACGTTATTCTTTGTTCTAAAAATAAGTGGGATAGAAGTTATTTTCTACAAAGTAAAATTTTATATCAAACTCCATAAAAGGGCACGCGCGTAAAAATTATGAATGGGAAGAAAGATGCATTGATAAGCTTGACCAATCATATTAGAGTACAGTAAATCAAAATAATTCACGATAGGCTAGGTAGCCATTTTGTTTCTAGTTAAACAAAACAATCGCCTGTCTTAGTGTGTTTATTTTATTTGCATAGACTCTTCTATTAGTTGTTTTTAAATTATACAACAATATTTAGACTAATATTTGATACTTTGCCAAGAAATATACATTGGAACACTACTAAAAACTGTTTAGTACGTGTTATACTAAACTGAAATAATGCGTCATGGACATATCCGTCAGTTTTAAGAATGTATCAAGTCCATCCCCTTCTTTCCCTTCACGCTATTCAACCAACGGCCAGTTTTAATCTTGTTACATCATGATGTGATAGGCTTGAATGCGTTCATCAAAATTTTCGTAGGACTGTAAACGACACATGTGTTAGTGTGTAAGCCCATTACTCCGTGTAGGGTTTATTAGCAACTAACGTAAATACTAGATGGGATAGCTGATAAGCATTCACTTAGGCCTTATACGGAAAAGGTGCTTGACCCTATCGACACGGATGTGTTATTCACGTTTGAATGAACATTGGTAATGTATGGCTTATCGGATCTTAACGCACTATCCGGCGGTGTGGGGGTGGAGAGGAAGGGGGACTGGCATGGGGTGAAGGGCTTGTCTAGTCTCAAGTGCTGTACCCAGGATTGTGTAGTGGGCTATTATTAAGAGGCAATGAACTTGTGTAAGTTACAATTTAAGTAGGGATAGACATTGTATTGAAGTGAGAAGACCGGCTAAAAAACAAAACCTAATCTGGTTTGTTGATTGTTGTTCTGAGAATAACACTCGATTCACAGGATATGTAACACTTAATAGTCATTGATTCATTACTTGTTGTATACATATTTTCTGCTTACATAGAACGATTTAATTACTCACCGTTCCGTTGTATATCCTTCCCGTCTACCGTGGACAAAAAGCATCCCCACCCGCCATTTATTTTCTTATTTCAGTGTTACACAATACACTTTAATAAAATGTGTTTCTTTTTCTCAATGTTAAAAAAGTTATCTAATCACCAAGCCAGTAGAGATCCTTCGATTTGTATTGACGGAAAAGAAAAAGCCCCCCCCCCCCAACTTATACAAACAATCTAAGACAAAGTTGATGGAGTGGATTTTAATGTCACTAACTTTTTGTTAACGGTTACACAATCGTACACAACGCTTTTATACAATTGATTTATTTTCTAATTGGTAAAGTATCGATTCACCAATCCAGTATAATCCTTCCGATATTAGTCGGCGAAAAAGTGCCCCCCTTCACACACCCCCCCCCCCCCATCCCATCTAGGAAAAACTGGAACGCGGTTTTTGCCGGTCACTGTTTCCTAAGGTTAAATGTTTAACAATTACGTAATCAAGATATAACAGTTAACTTAAATCAGTATATAATGGCATGTAGCGGTTAAATTTGTTAACTCTGTTTCAAAAAAAAAAATTCAGCTTGAAACGAAATTTTAAATTTTTCTACTCCTTTTGTGGCGCCCCTAGGGTCGACGCTCAGGGCCCACCCCCCTAGCCTCTGCAAACAAGTCATCCTGTCGATCCAAAGCAATATTGAATATAAGGACGGAAAGTTGAAATATGCTCTAACCAAATTGATTCTCATTGCGCCAAGTGTCACGTGTATGCATACAACGTCACATGGTCAACAAAAAATGGCGATGTTTCCTTTTGCTGACAACTAGGATCTACATCAAATAAAATATGTAAATTTATCGCAGTAAAAAGAGGAATAGTGTACGATTAGTAAGTTGTTAGTTTACATCGATGGTTTTTGTTTTCAAAATTCCAGTCGTTCGATGTGCTACCTATTAGAAAGTCTGTGTACTATAAGAAATAGATCTAAAATCTAGTAAAAATCACATTGAATACTTGATGAAACTAATGGACACAAGCGAGAAAAGTCTCAAAGGTATTTGAGAGGTGCATAAATTAATTTAAAATTCTTGCTTGCACGGCGTAGTTACAATTAATATGGTTATAAAATCCTGTCTGTATGGTTTTTTTCGGACTTTACTAAAGATTGGACGTATTTGATGTTTTTAATATTTTCGGTAACTAAATAAAAATTAAAAAAAAAAGCAAAAACAATTTGGTTTTCACGTGTAATGGCGACATAAACAATGGCATCCTGCTATTGAATAGGCCGACAAAATTTTATTGTACACATTGTAAGCTAAAAATAGAAAACTAGGTCATGGGGTTTTAAATTTGCATTGTTATTTAAAAACTTGATCTGCAAAGTTTTGTAAACAAATAGTTATCGATCACTAAGTTACTGTACATCCAATCAATGTTTTTCTTACGAAAGTGAAACATCCGGTTATAACTTAGGCTTGATGAAAATAAATAGAAATGTAGCCTTAAACTCAACAAATTATTTTCTAGTTCTCTGGATTTGCAACTTTTATAGCATTTATTCTAAAAATAAAAAATTTCTAAATTAATTTTAGGCTTAAGTTTTTTTTTTTTTATTTTTTTTTTACGGTCTAAATCTAAAAAGCACGTTTTTATTCCATGTCAACAACACTATGGAAGGAATCTCGTCAACTCGCTTGTCTCCATTATTTTCGTTTAATTTATCTAAACAAGGTGAATGAATAGACGGAATGGCATAACGACATCCCATCAAACGTGACTTAGTCAAAAATAAAAAAAGGAATTTATATTATAGATCTATATATATATATAAAATCAAAGTTGGTGTTGTTTGACTCTAATGATTAGTACATTTGTGTAACAAAACGTGATATTTAGGAATGACAGGTGATGTTTAGGTTAATTTTTATAATAACGTGCTGTTTTTTTTTTTACATTCTCGTATACTAAGTATAGAGAAAGTATTGTAATCGTAAAAAAAGAGACTTTTGCAAATCTCGACGTTTTACAACTCCTTGAGTCAGAAAAACATAGTGTTGCAAACATGTCCATATGTCTGTGTATGTGTTGATGTGTTGATGTGTATGTGTGTCTGTGAACACGATAACTTGAGTACCGTTACAGATAAATTGATACAATTTTATATATAAGTATTATGTCGAATTGGTAGTTCTGTATAAACTTTTCAGCGATTTCCGGTAACCAGAAACGGCACTTATTTTACGTTGAATTTTTCAAAAGCCTATAATTTGAGTACTGTTTCAGATAGATAAATAAAATTTCATATGTATGTAAATGATCTAGTCTATGCCTTTTGTTAAAATTTGAGTAATTTCCGTTGATAGGAAGTAGTAATTTACGATACTTCAGATTTCTCAAAAAACTAATGTGAATTTATATGGTACTAATAATATTCCGCACTATTATACACATAATTTTTGGCGTTCACTTCGTGCGCAATTATTTTTTTCTACCAGATTATATTCTATTTTAAAAGTTTAAGTAATTAAAATTGATTAAAAATCATGAATCATGTCTATTTCCCGAGGTGCCATCCCCCGTAGGGATATATTAGAATATTCGAGAAAGTTTAGGGGAGATCACTCCCGGTTTATTTTCTTATAAATTATATATTTTGTAAACAAACATGCATATTATGTGTGTCAAGATTTATATTTGGACGTCGCTTTGAATGGCCGAGGCTGAGGCCTAACCGATAACAGCTAGTGTATATATATGGCATATATATATATGTATATATATATATATATATATATATATATATATATATATATATATATATATATATATATATATATATATATACGCCCTTTTATCCCACCAAATATCCCACTAGTAGTGTATGTTTAATCTTTAAAAATATAGCAGGAAACACGTTAGCCAAATGCGATTCGAGCCAAATTGCGATTAGTTTTAGTATTTAGGTAAGGCTTGATTCAATGGTAGGGTAGTAAACCAAAGTAAAGTTACCTTTTCCAATCCGTATAGTTTATCTGTTTTTATGGCCTTGACATATAAGGATATAAAATAGATCACACTGTACCTTATAACTTTGATTAGGCGGGCTACAATCTCCTCTAAAAAACAAGCCTATTTAGTCAAGTTTTCATACTAGCCTACTGTGCCGTATAGCGCGATTATGTTTTTTTTTATAACACAACTAGTGATACTTTTATTCTTGTGACCAATATAACTACAATCTAATAATATTACTTATATATACAGAATCCTCAGATCAATAAAAGGATGAACAGTCACGTGATGCCTTTAACTTTAATAAGTCTTTTTTGTATCTTTGGTGTTCTTGGTAGGTAACTTTGTTTGACTATTTAATTAATAGGTGGTAAGACGTTTTATGACATTTTACATTGAATTATTTTAGTTTCATTTTAATTTTTTTATTTTACCTGAAATATTTTTTAGCTATTTTTCTTCAAGGTAAGGTAAGGCTATAAGAAACAATCAAACCCCCTACTCCACGTCCCTGGTTTATTTCAGCTCTTTAGGCAACAAAAAAACGTATGTAGTTTATCTGTGTTGACTTTACGAAGAGTCGTCCAATAATAATATTATTGAATAGCTTCAGATGGTACTGAAAAACCGATGCAGTTAGACATGAAAATCGAGGGATATGAAAAGGAGTGCGATGCTGCCAACAACTGTGTATACACCGGCCGAATTTATGGACGCGTCGCGGGCTATTCAAACACTAGCAAGTGCTGCTACGGGATTTTTCTGAAACATTGCTATAAAAACTTGGATTGCTCCAATTATAGGTCTAATTGGCAAAATGTGAGTTCAGTGTAATATATTGATTAGGTATTTTAGATCTACATCTACATCTCCATCTCCATCTCCATCTCCATCTCCATCTCCATCTCCATCTCCATCTCCATCTCCATCTCCATCCACATCTACATCCACATCCACATCCACATCCACATCCACATCCACATCCACATCCACGGAAAAACATAGTGTTGCAAACTTGTCCATATGTCTGTGTGTGTATGTGTTGATGTGTTGATGTGTATGTGTGTCTGTGAACACGATAACTTGAGTACCGTTACAGATAAATTGATACAATTTTATATATAAGTATTATGTCGAATTGGTAGTTCTGTATAAACTTTTCAGCGATTTCCGGTAACCAGAAACGGCACTTATTTTACTTTGAATTTTTCAAAAGCCTATAATTTGAGTACTGTTTCAGATAGATAAATAAAATTTCATATGTATGTAAAGGATCTAGTCTATGCCTTTTGTTAAAATTTGAGTAATTTCCGTTGATAGGAAGTAGTAATTTACGATACTTCAATTTCTCAAAAAACGAATGTGAATTTATATGGTACTAATAATATTCCGCACTATTATACACATAATTTTTGGCGTTCACTTCGTGCGCAATTATTTTTTTCTACCAGATTATATTCTATTTTAAAAGTTTAAGTAATTAAAATTGATTAAAAATCATGAATCATGTCTATTTCCCGAGGTGCCATCCCCCGTAGGGATATATTAGAATATTCGAGAAAGTTTAGGGGAGATCACTCCCGGTTTATTTTCTTATAAATTATATATTTTGTAAACAAACATGCATATTATGTGTGTCAAGATTTATATTTGGACGTCGCTATGAATGGCCGAGGCTGAGGCCTAACCGATAACAGCTAGTGTATATATAGGGCATATATATATATATGTATATATATATATATATATATATATATATATATATATATATATACGCCCATTTATCCCACCAAATATCCCACTAGTAGTGTATGTTTAATCTTTAAAAATATAGCAGGAAACACGTTAGTCAAATGCGATTCGAGCCAAATTGCGATTAGTTTTAGTATTTAGGTAAAGCTTGATTCAATGGTAGGGTAGTAAACCAAAGTAAAGTTACCTTTTCCAATCCGTATAGTTTATCTGTTTTTATGGCCTTGACATATAAGGATATAAAATAGATCACATTGCACCTTATAACTTTGATTAGGCGGGCTACAATCTCCTCTAAAAAACAAGCCTATTTAGTCAAGTTTTCATACTAGCCTACTGTGCCGTATAGCGCGATTATGTTTTTTTTATAACACAACTAGTGATACTTTTATTCTTGTGACCAATATAACTACAATCTAATAATATTACTTATATATACAGAATCCTCAGATCAATAAAAGGATGAACAGTCACATGATGCCTTTAACTTTAATAAGTCTTTTTTGTATCTTTGGTGTTCTTGGTAGGTAACTTTGTTTGACTATTTAATTAATAGGTGGTTAGACGTTTTATGACATTTTACATTGAATTATTTTAGTTTCATTTTAATTTTTTTATTTTACCTGAAATATTTTTTAGCTATTTTTCTTCAAGGTAAGGTCAGGCTATAAGAAACAATCAAACTCCCTACTCCACGTCCCTGGTTTATTTCAGCTCTTTAGGCAACAAAAAAACCTATGTAGTTTATCTGTGTTGACTTTACGAAGAGTCGTCCAATAATAATATTATTGAATAGCTTCAGATGGTACTGAAAAACCGATGCAGTTAGACATGAAAATCGAGGGATATGAAAAGGAGTGCGATGCTGCCAACAACTGTGTATACACCGGCCGAATTTATGGACGCGTCGCCGGCTATTCAAACACTAGCAAGTGCTGCTACGGGATTTTTCTGAAACATTGCTATAAAAACTTGGATTGTTCAGATATATAGGTCTAATTGGCAAAATGTGAGTTCAGTGTAATATATTGATTAGGTATTTTAGATCAGCTGGTTGTAATGGATTATTAGCTTTTTCTATCTGGGGTTTTACATATATATATATATATATATATATATATATATATATATATATATATATACTTATTTATGGCTAAGTCAACATAATAAGAACAAATATAAACAACCGAACGGAAACAAACGAATCGAAATAAAACTGACCAGACCAGACAGACCAGACCAGACTAGTTAACACAGACTAAGGCTAAACCTACATCTAAAGCCTAGAAATGTTTTTTTTTTTTACATTTATACGCAAAACCTAAACGTATATAATACAGACCAATATGAATTTTCTAAATCGAAATTTAAACCCTTTACATAGCAGTGTTTCTTCCAGACTTTTCTCCGGGGGCCACTTGAAATCTTCGGGGGGGGCGGTAAACTTTCTTCGGGAGGGCGGACACTGTTAAAAGTATATATTTTCTATATAAATTATATAAATTTCATTTCGTTCGGGGGGGCGGTAAAAATTTTTCGGGGGGGGGGGGGGGGGCTTCGTCCCCCCGAAGAGATGCCTGGAAGAAACTCTGTTAGATAGGCCTATTCTACATCTAATACAAAAATAAAAACCACCAAAATTTATTAATTCATTTTAAATAATTATAAAGAATAACCAAAAATATTTAAAAAAAAGAAACTAAATTAAAGTCTGTAAAATTACATGAATATGCATACAACTAAAATTCAACCTGAACTTAAATCAAAATAGGACATATTTACCCGTGTCCAGGACGTTTTCCACTCCACTCTCAAACAAATTTTCCCACTCCCCTCACACACAAATTTCCCCCTGGTCATTGGCAGTCAAATGCTTTACCTCTTGTCCATTTCGATCGTTCGTTATCACCCCATTACAGAATACATATCATACTAATATCTATCCATGTCTTTTTCCATATATATCTCCCTATTTCTAACCCTATTTCTTATTAAACAATCTTTAGCCTATGCCAGGGGTCGAAACACCGCAGCTCGCGAGCTGCATACGGCTCTTTTGATGTCAATATGCGGCTCTCTAGTTCTATAATAATTATATTATTTTATTTTCGAAACTCAAAAAACTGTTACATTGCAAAAACAAAAACAACTTTACACACAAAAAGACAACAATGAGAATAGGTGAAAAAGAGTGTAGAACGCATATTTAAACATCTGCATCTCCATCTCCATCTCCATCCACATCCACATCCACATCCACATCCACATCCACATCCACATCCACATCCACATCCACATCCACATCCACATCCACATCCACATCCACATCCACATCCACATCCACATCCACATCCACATCCACATCCACATCCACATCCACAACCATATCCACATCCACATCCACATCCACTTCCACATCCACATCCACATCCACATCCACATCCACATTCACATCCACATCCACATCCACATCCACATCCACATCCACATCGACATCTACATCTACAACTACATCTACATCTACATCATCTACATCTACATCTTCATCTGCATCTGGATCTCCATCCACATCCACATCCACATCCACATCCACATCCACATCCACATCCACATCCACATCCACATCCACATCCACATGTGAGAGAGAGAGAAAGAGAGAGAGATACTTTTAAACATTGGGTTTCGTTTAGAAGAATATATCTAATAAATATTCAGGGTTATGTTTTATTTTTCAAACGGCCTTATTTGAATATCAACACTAATTGGAAACGTATTATATTTCCTCAACCCGGGCAGTACCGGGCATATGCTGTTTAAAGATAGGTTTTACACCGAGGCCAGGCTAGTGTACTAAATAGAGAAAAAAGATATATTCATTAATATTATGATATCTGTTTTTGTTTCCAGGAATGTTTTTTCGGAGGGAACTGTATGCATTCTGCGTGCAAACAAATGAGTAACGATGATCACTGCTACTGTGAAGATAAGAGCTATCCATTCAGATTCAGATTCCGCCCCGAATTCAAGAATTCGTGGTACATTCTTGCAGCACTTTCATTTTACCCACGGATTCATACTAACCCCTATAATTTCAGCGAAAGATTTGATGTTTCAAATCCACCAGGTAATTTTTAAAAACAGAACATCTCCATCTCCATCTCCATCCCCATCTCCATCTCCATCTACATCTCCATCTCCATCTCCATCCCCATCTCGATCTCCATCTCCATCTCCATCTCCATCTCCCTCTACCTCTCCATCTCCATCTCCATCTCCATCTCCATCTCCATCTCCATCTCCATCTCCATCCCCATCCCCATCCCCATCCCCATCCCCATCCCCATCTCCATCTCCATCTCCATCTACCTCTCCATCTACCTCTCCATCTCCATCTCCATCCCCATCCCCATCCCCATCCCCATCCCCATCCCCATCCCCATCTCCATCTCCATCTCCATCTACCTCTCCATCTACCTCTCCATCTCCATCTCCATCTCCATCCCCATCCCCATCCCCATCCCCATCCCCATCTCCATCTCCATCTCCATCTCCATCTCCATCTCCATCCCCATCCCCATCCCCATCCCCATCCCCATCTCCATCTCCATCTACCTCTCCATCTCCATCTCCATCTCCATCTCCATCTCCATCTCCATCTCCATCTCCATCTCCATCTCCATCTCCATCTCCATCTCCATCTCCATCCCCATCCCCATCTCCATCTCCATCTCCATCTCCATCCCATTCTCCATCTCCATCTCCATCCCCATCCCCATCTCCATCTCCATCTCCATCTCCCTCTACCTCTCCATCTCCATCTCCGTCTCCATCTCCATCTCCATCTCCATCTCCATCTCCATCTCCATCTCCATCTCCATCTCCATCTCCATCTCCATCTCCATCTCCCTCTACCTCTCCATCTCCATCTCCATCTCCATCTCCATCTCCATCTCCATCTCCATCTCCATCTCCATCCCCATCCCCATCCCCATCTCCATCTCCATCTCCATCTCCATCTACCTCTCCATCTACCTCTCCATCTCCATCTCCATCCCCATCCCCATCCCCATCCCCATCCCCATCCCCATCCCCATCTCCATCTCCATCTCCATCTCCATCTACCTCTCCATCTACCTCTCCATCTCCATCTCCATCTCCCTCTACCTCTACCTCTCCATCTCCATCTCCATCTCCATCTCCATCTCCATCTCCATCTCCATCTCCATCTCCATCTCCATCTACCTCTCCATCTCCATCTCCATCTCCATCTCCATCTCCATCTCCATCTCCATCTCCATCTCCATCTCCATCTCCACCTCCATCTCCATCTCCATCTCCATCTCCATCTACGTCTCCGTCTCCGTCTCCGTCTCCATCTCCATCTCCATCTCCATCTTCATCCCCTTCCCCATCTCCATCTCCATCTACATCTTCATCTTCATCCCCATCCCCATCCCCATCTCCATCTCCATCTCCATCTCCATCTCCCTCTCTATCTCCATCTCCATCTCCATCTCCATCTCCATCTCCATCTCCATCTCCATCTCCATCTCCATCTCCATCTCCATCTTCATCCCCATCCCCATCTCCATCTCCATCTCCATCTCCATCTCCATCTCCATCTCCATCTCCATCTCCATCTCCATCTCCGTCTCCGTCTCCATCTCCATCTCCATCTCCATCTCCATCTCCATCTTCATCCCCATCTCCATCTCCATCTCCATCTCCATCTTCATCCCCATCCCCATCTCCATCTCCATCTCCATCTCCATCTCCATCTCCATCTCCATCTCCATCTCCATCTCCATCTCCATCTCCATCTCCTTCTCCATCTCCATCCCCATCTCCATCTCCATCTCCATCTCCATCTTCATCTCCATCTCCATCTCCATCCACATCCACATCCACATCCACATCCACATCCACATCCACATCCCATCCCCATCCCCATCTCCATCTGCATCTGCATCTGCATCTACATCTACATCTACATCTACATCTACGTCTACATCTACATCTACATCTACATCTACATCTACATCTACATCTACATCTACGTCTACATCTACATCTACATCTACATCTACATCTACGTCTACATCTACATCTACATCTACATCTACATCTACAAAAAGGCAATATCTTTCTAACAACATTTTTTAAATAGTATGGGGTCATCCATAAATGATGCCACGTTTTTTTTGGGACTATTTTTACCTCCCCCATCCCCCAATCCCTTCCGTCACACGTCGTCACAAAAACCCAGACACCTCCCATCTAAAATGACGTCACACCTCAGCTTACAACGAATCACCCCCCCCCCCCCCGAAATTGCTGTTGAATCCTTCTTAAATAATCGATATTTTTCCCAAATCTTGTCAGAACTCTGTCAACATAGGGTATTATGATCATTTCCTATTAAAATTTATTAAAACCGTTTCTAAAATTCGAAATAACGGCTAAAACTCGTTTTCTAAAATTGTTTTTTTTATAATGCAGAAAAGTGACGTCCCTCCATCTGACCCCCCCCCCCTCCCCCTCCCCCTCAACACACCGTCACAAAATTACGGACCCACCCACTCCCCCCCTACGAATGTGACGTCATTTATGGACGACCCTTATATTCTGCATATGTAATTTATGATTATCTAAATGGTATGTGGGTGAGGGTGCGGGGGTGCTACTATAGTAACATCTCAATTTTTACTCATTTTAAATAGAGCTGTTTTTTTTGTCAAACTTTGTTCTTGTGCAAACTTTCGGATTTTCTTTTTAATTTGTTTTCTTTCATAGAAGTTACGCTAGCGTTTAGAGTCTTAATTCCCGCAACAAGTCTATAGCCGAAGTAAAATGGAATAGTTGCTTTTGGTAATCATGTGAGAACTTAATCATTACCCCTTTAACATAACAAATTCTAAAAACTTCAATGAAGGTTTAGTCCTTAGCATAATTTCTGACGAAACAATCAATGAAAACTGTTACCATTGATTTGAAAACTAGGCATACTGCTAAGCTTCGCTTAAGTTTTCGTAAAAAAAAAATATGCTTAAATTCATACCCATAACATAAGCGCTATAAACATTTTATTTATATCAAATCAAGAAAGTATTGTTTTTACGTATCTTTCTGTATACCAGTCGATGTGATAGAATGTTTTGATGAAAGGGAGGGGGTTGGTTCGGGTTTCGGCTTCGAGTCTGTAGGACGTACGTGAGCATACCCACCCCCGACATGAGAACATACCCACCCCCGACATGAGAATATACCCACCCCCGACATGTGAACATACCCACCCCCGACATGAGAATAACTTACGTTAGGTAAAGCCAAAGTGACAGGGCGTAGAAATTAACACACTGTACCCCCACATGCCAATGTTACAGAAACTGATAAACTCTACTTCATTTCCACTGTAGACCGTTTATTTAAATATCTCAACTAAAATATCTGAACCGATTAAGGGGTCATCCATACATGACGTCACGCTTTTTTGACGATTTGTACCTCCCCCCTCCCCTCCGTCACACATCGTCACAAAAAGCCAAACCCCCCTAACATGACGTCACACCTCAGCCTACAACCCCCCCCCCCCTCAAAACTGAAGTTAAATTATTTTTAAAACATCGATATTTTTCCAAAATTTTGTCTGAACTCTGTCAAAATAGAGTATTTTAATCAATTCCTATTACAATTTATTAACACAGTTTTCTAAACCGCAAAAAAACATCTAAAATTCGTTTTCTAACATTGCTTTTTAATAATGCAAAAGTGTGACGTCGCACTATCTGACCCCCCCTCCCCCTCATCACACACCGTCACAAAATTGCAGACCCCCCTCCCCCTACGAGTGTGACGTCATTTATGGACGACCCTTAAGTAAATAATAGATTTAAGCAAACGTATAAAAAAGTCTTGCATGAAATTTGTATGCTGAGTAATCAACTTTAGTTAAACATGGTCATTTTAAATAATTATTTTTTTTTTCTCTAAAATGCATCAGGCGTAGGCTACTTTACATCATCGGTGTGCATTGCCTCCTTGTTCACTTTAGCATAACAGTCTTTATCGTCGTCTTGTGATGACTGATATAGATTTAAAATAGTAGAGGAAAATAATCATAGTAAGATTACACGCCGTAGATCTGCGGACAACGTGAAAAAAAGTTTTGTTCCTAAAATTAACTTAAACTCACAACTCTTTCTAGACTTTTCTTTAAACCCAGCCTGAAATCTAGTGGTTTTTCAGACTTTTAATGGTCTAAAAATTTAGCAAATTCTAGAGATTTTCAAGACTTTGCGCGAACTCATTGCATTACGCAATGAGTAATTCTTTGTTGTAAAACAAGAACATAAGTAAACAGAGATAGAGGTAATGACCCAGAGGCTGATATTTAAAAATGCTAGGATTGTTTATATTATAAGCCAGAAAGAATACTATTTAATACACAATCAAATGTTTAATATTTTGCATTTCTAATTTCATTTATGTTAAACCTGAAAATATGAATAATTAATAAGTTTGTGTTTAGCTGTTATTTACGTCTCAGGCTGGTAATATTTGACAGTGTTCCTGAATGTTTCTCAATGGTGTCCGCTGTCATATTATTACGTTTCAGTTTTATCCATTTTAAATTTAAAATAAACATATAATTAATCGTAATTATTACAATTTTATGGAAAAAATTAGGTGGGGGGGGGGGGGGGGGGGGGATTTATAATGTTTTTTACATACATAAGCGAAAAATAGTGTTTAACTTTATGCAGTAGTTTTCATTTTAAGGAAACGTTGGAAAATAAGCGCGCCTAATGCTAATACTAATAGACTTTCTCAGTATATATTTAAAACAATGTTTAATGGTGGCATTACTTATTAAGCGCTACTGTTGGACTAAGTTCATTGTCTATTATGTATACATGGTGTCAGGAATTAAAAACAATTGCCTGTTTCAAATCGTCTTCAAACATTGTATAATATATGGTTTAACATGATTTATTTTATTTTTGTTAGCCAAAGCTTGTTTTAATTGTTGTGTCAAGTCATTGTTTTAACTGTAGTTAATTTACATCAACTGTATATATGCTCTGTATTAATTATATTTGCTTGCAGTGGAACTGAGAAATGATGCATTTTTGGCCTCCACCAACGGAAAACTCCAGCTGCAAGCAGGTATTTGAGCCTTTGTCTGCCAATGTTTATTTTATATTCTCTGATAAAATTCAATGTTGATGGACTGAGTGAATTCTTAGGGATGACAATTTCAAACAGTATAGAAAAATGAAAGAAATTAAATAATCAAACATTTATAAAAACTTTTTTTTAGAACTTTAAAAAAAAACGTATGAACAGAGACTAGCGATGTGTGTCTATATATATATTGTTCTCTTTTAGGTAAAGTTCCCATTTTTAATAGAGTGGATGAAGTAGAGTTCACATGTACTTGACCCCGCCATTTAAAGTGAAGAAGTGGTCAGCAGTATGGCCACCTTTACTTTCCTTTACTTGTCTTGGGTACTCATCAGAGCTAGGTTAACTCAGGCAGGGAGGTCACTCCTATTCTGTAATCGCTTTCTGCAAACATGTTTTTTGAAAATATCGCTCGTAAAAACCTACCCTTTGTTAAGTGCATACACATTAGTATACGTTAACCATACTCCAGCATAGAACATTAGAAGTGTGTAGGTATCCAACTATTTTCTCTTCCACAGAACCGGTCATTATGTTCATGGGAGCTCTGTACGCTTTGATCATGTCCTTGGAAATGACAATCAAAGATATAATTTAGTCCAACGTGCGAATGAATAGCTATTTGATCAGAAGTGTTGTAATTTAGCTCTAAAAATGTTGTTGAGCTAAATCCAATAATGATATTTGATTATTTTGCTAACTCTAAAAAACACTTTTGTGATAGATAAACTAGGTGGAATAAATAAGTATCGTTGTGCAGCCATCAATGATGAATTATCTGATAGTTTTAAACGTCAATTTGGGGTTAATTTATTTTACTAAATCTTCTTAAACAACAAGAATCCTGTATTAATGTACTGAAAATATGGTTTACTAATATAATATAGCAACAAATTGAAAGAGGAGTTATTGCCGTCAGTCAGAGGTGTAGGACAGAGGAAGTTAGGGGAAGAGTAATGTTTTGACATGGATTTTTATTTCCATCTAATTGCGTTTTAAACTAAAATTGATTAACCGACGAAAACATCTTTTGTCGTTCCTAACTATAATTGTTTTTTGGGTTTTCAAAAATATGTTTTTGTTTTATTTTTATCTTGTAAATGCCTTCTCAATACATTAAACATAGAGTCCACCAATTGTTCCACACATTTTCTCGTAAATAAATGAACTTACATACAGACGTGGTTCACATCGCTGGTGTACGATCTTTTTTTTTTTTCTAAAGGGATAAAACAACATTAAAATAAGTATTGCATAATGATCAGGTAACTTTCAAAATAGATTGTTCAATATACAAATACACATTAACAATAATGTAAACAAACACTGGACAAAAAAGGCAAATGCAAAAAAAATGTTGTTTTTTTTAATTGAGTATTTTGTGGTAATAATGTAACGTATTTTAATTACTCGGCTTAGAGAAGGAAACAACAGTTTCATCTAAGTAAAGGACCACTTCTGAATACAAAAAGTCCGTCAAAAACAATTAATTAAAAAAGGCCATTGGTTGTTTCTGTGTTTTGATTGTCTGTTTACAAGTAACTTGTATCTTCCATCATCATATCGTACCAGGCTTAAAACAGTCAGATATTATGTGTAGAAGTTCTCAATAGAGATTCAATTAATCTTTTAAAGGTGTCATTATTTATTAAGCTCCACTGTCAGATTACGTTTGTTGTATATTATGTGTAGGGCTACATTGTGCTAAGAATAATCGTCTATAACAGGTTTCAAATTGTCTTTTAAAATAATGTAATATATTGATCACTAATGTTGCCAGCGAAATGTTGTTTAATATGTTTTGTCGTCTTAGGTTTTCAATAGAGTTATTTTACTTCAACTTCACATGTGCCATGTCCTATGTATATCTGCTTGCAGCGGGAGTAAAAATAATAAAAACGAGTGAATTGTTGGCCTCCACGGATGGAGAGCTCCACTTGCAAGGCAGGTAGGTGAGCCTTCCTCTGCCAGTGTTTGTTTTATATTGTCTGATAAAATGGCAAATGGTTGATTTAGGCTGGCATTGTATCTGTAATTTTTAGAACACTAATCCAATATAGGGCTTTTCTATAAATGTTCAAAAAAGGAACATGTGGTTTGTGTTGTGACCACATGTGGTTTGGCCACATGGGCTTTGGCCTCAAGGGCTTTGGTCACAAGGGCTTTGGTCACAAGGGCTTTGTCCACAAGGGCTGTGTCCACAAGGGCTTTGTCCACAAGGGCTTTGGCCACAAGGGCTTTGTCCACAAGGGCTTTGTCCACACAAGCTTTGCTCACAAGGGCTGTGTCCACAATGGCTTTGGTCTCAAGGGCTTTGGTCTCAAGGGCTTTGGTCTCAAGGGATTTGTTCACAAGGGCTTTGTCCACACAAGCTTTGCTCACAAGGGCTTTGTTCACAAGGACTTTGTCCACACAAGCTTTGCTCACAAGGGCTTTGTCCACAAGGGCTTTGTCCACAAGGGCTTTGGCCACAAGGGCTTTGGTCACAAGGGCTTTGTCCACAAGGGCTTTGTCCACAATGGCTTTGTCCACAAGGACTTTGTTCACAAGAAATTTAACCATATGGTGTTTGACCACAGTGGGGCTGTGAACTTTGTTTGACCATAGGATGTTTGGCCATATATGACTCCGAGTGGATTCTATAGTTTTGTGTGCGTGCGTGCGTGAGTGTGTGCCTGCGTGCGTATATATATATATATATATATATATATATATATATATATATACATATATATATATATATATATATATATATAATCAATATATAAACACGATAACTCGAGTACCGTTTCAGTTATGATGAACAAATGTCATATCGAAGGATTATATCAGATTTGTAGTTTTCTGTTAACTTTTGAGCAATTTCTTGTATCCGGAAGTGAAACGTACTCTACTTTGGTTCCCTCAAAAGCCGATAACTTGAGTACTATTAAAGCTAATCAGACATATATTGGGTACCTAACTCACGTTAGGGAAAGTAAAGGCGGCTGGGTATAGTGCTGACCACACTAACACATCATATGCCGAGGTCACAGAAACAAGTGAACTCTTCTTCACTTGCCCTATTGACCGTCAGGTTTGAAAAGGGAACTTTACTTTACTGAGACATATTTGCAAATAGAATTATTAGATTGTATTCGAAGGTTCCTTTCTACTTTTTTGCGATTTCGGGTAAGCGGAAGTGGTACGATTCTCTGTTTCCTAGGGAACTCATTGACATGAATACTGTTTCAGTTATGTAGACTGAATTTCAAACACAAGTATAAGATCTTACACCTTGATTACTTTCAAATTTAATTGACCTCCCTTACTCTTTATCCAGTTTCTAAAATACATCAAAGTACCGTTTCAGTTAGATACACTAAATTTTATTAACAGTTATAGGTCTTAATTTCTTGATTGCATCAAGTTTTAAGTGATTTTCGGTGAAAGGAAGTTGTACTCGAAAAATATCACTTCTACCGGACTGATTTGTTTCAAATTTTACACGGAGGTTAAGACTCGATGACAATACACTGTATTAGATGTTTACTTAACTAAAAAATGTTTTTATATAATGTGCTAATTAAGAAAATATAGATATTTAAACATTTTATTTTATTCTACAGATCCAATCATTATGTGTATCGGATTAATGTACGCACTTGTCAAGTCTATAGAACTACTAAACAAAGACTGGTTATAGTCGAACGTGTGGCTGTTTAGCTTTTTAATCAAGCATGACTGTGGTAATTTAGCTGCTAAATACGTTGTTGGTTAGCTAGTTTTATGCAATATGTGATTATTTAGCTAGGTCTAACGAAACATGTGATTTAATTAAATATGTGATAATTTAGCTACTTATGACGTTGCTGTTGAGATAGAATTGTTTTCATTATTTATCTAGGTTTCATAAAACATGTGATTGTTTAGGTTGGTCTCATGAAACATGTGTTTGTTTATCTGGTTGTAATGTAACGTGTTTGTTTAACTAATTCTAACATAGTGTGATTGTTTAGCTGGTTCTCATGACTAATATAATAGGTAATTTATTTGACTGAGTCTTCATCAACAACAAGAATCCTGGCTAATGTACTCAAAAATATGGTTTACTTGTATAACATAACAAATTGAAAGAGGACTTATTGCCGTTGGTTAGATGTGTTTGATGGAGGACGTTGGAGAGAGCTGGGGAGTATGAAGGCTATGACAATAGAATTCTTTGTTCCATCTAAGAGTGCTTAGACTATGCTTGATTATTAAACGACCTGTTACAATCTTTTTGTGGGTTTTCTAAAATACGATTATATATATTTTTTTAAATTATTTTTTGTCGTCTTCATGCCTTCTCAACCTATTCCAAATACACAGTCCACCCCACACATTCCAATAGGAGTTCCACACAAAACCCACCACACACAGTCCAACAAAGGTTTCACACACTTTCCCAAAACTAAACTCAATATACAGACGTATAATAACTATTACATAATGATCCCGTGCTTTAAAATTGATTGTTATATTACATTGATGCACGTTCATAATAATGTAAACTAACACGGAACAATAAAAGCAAATGCAAATTAAGGTTTTTTTTTATTGATTATTTTTATTGTAATAATGTAATTTATTTTAATTAGTCTCCTTAGAGTAGGAAAAGACGCTGGTTTCATCTAAGTAAATGACTACTTCTAAATATCGATAGCCCCCTATTACAACTACTCAATGTATAAAATATAATATAATATAACCTTTCCTTTACCTAACTAAAACAGTACAAACAATGATAGTGTTCACGCGGAAATAGAATACATTATCTGTTCTTGCTACGGAAAATCGTTCAATAGTAAATAGAAATGATCGCATTCACTACAAAACTTTTATATGAATATATTATTATGTTCACCTAACGGTACTCAAGTTATCGAAATTTTGAGAAACCGGAAGTAGAATAAGTAACATTTTCGTGCACCGGAAAGCGCTCAATAGTTGACATGAAACTAAAAATTTGATACAATAATTGTGTATAAAAGTTCATCAACATAACTGTAAAGGTACTCAAGTTATTCTGTGTATTAGGTTTCATGCATAATTAAAATACAATAAACTTGAAAAGCTCGTTCCAAATGGTTCCAATTTTTATTGCCAGAAAGCATATTATTATTTTTTTTTTTGCATCATGCTATATACTGTTTATAAGTTATTTTTTTTACATATACAATTTGCTTGTATCAAAACCAACTGGGTGGCATTTTGTGGTATTTTAATGGAGAAAAGTGCTTTGAGATACGAGCAATTTGACATATGAGCAATGCTACGGATCTAATTAAATTCGTATTTCGAGGTACTACTGTAAATATTTTTAAAATTTTGATTTGTCTGACAACTATTAACTACAAACTCCTAGCTCGCCAGTGACGTATGCATAGGGTGAGTTAAATGGAATCGGCTTCCCACGCTAAAATATTTAGGACAGTTGCGTCTTTCTCGGAAAAAATAAAAAAAAATATTAAAACAAATGTTTTAGTATAGCGTTGCCTTTTAACGGAAATAAAAAAAAATACTTAAAATAAACAAGAGGAATTGGTGTTGAATAACTAAATTAATGAATCTGAAATTGATGAGCCTATATTGTGGTCAGCGTTTAAAATATCAGGCGTATATTTTTGGCTGGCGTGTGAAATAAACTATTGATCCATGAATTCGTCTGTTCCAATAGAATATAGAATATAGAATATAGAATATAGAATATAGAATATAGAATATAGAATATAGAATATAGAATATAGAATATAGAATATAGAATATAGAATATAGAATATAGAATATAGAATATAGAATATAGAATATAGAATATAGAATATAGAATATAGAATATAGAATATAGAATATAGAATATAGAATATAGAATATAGAATATAGAATATAGAATATAGAATATAGAATATAGAATATAGAATATAGAATATAGAATATAGAATATAGAATATAGAATATAGAATATAGAATATAGAATATAGAATATAGAATACAGAATACAGAATACAGAATATAGAATACAGAATATAGAATACAGAATATAGAATACAGAATATAGAATACAGAATACAGAATATAGAATACAGAATATAGAATACAGAATATAGAATACAGAATATAGAATACAGAATATAGAATACAGAATATAGAATACAGAATATAGAATACAGAATATAGAATACAGAATATAGAATACAGAATATAGAATATAGAATATAGAATATAGAATATAGAATATAGAATATAGAATATAGAATATAGAATATAGAATATAGAATATAGAATATAGAATATAGAATATAGAATATAGAATATAGAATATAGAATATAGAATATAGAATATAGAATATAGAATATAGAATATAGAATATAGAATATAGAATATAGAATATAGAATATAGAATATAGAATATAGAATATAGAATATAGAATATAGAATATAGAATATAGAATATAGAATATAGAATATAGAATATAGAATATAGAATATAGAATATAGAATATAGAATATAGAATATAGAATATAGAATATAGAATATAGAATATAGAATATAGAATATAGAATATAGAATATAGAATATAGAATATAGAATATAGAATATAGAATATAGAATATAGAATATAGAATATAGAATATAGAATATAGAATATAGAATATAGAATATAGAATATAGAATATAGAATATAGAATATAGAATATAGAATATAGAATATAGAATATAGAATATAGAATATAGAATATAGAATATAGAATATAGAATATAGAATATAGAATATAGAATATAGAATGTAGAATGTAGAATGTAGAATGTAGAATGTAGAATATAGAATATAGAATATAGAATATAGAATATAGAATATAGAATATAGAATATAGAATATAGAATATAGAATATAGAATATAGAATATAGAATATAGAATATAGAATATAGAATATAGAATATAGAATATAGAATATAGAATATAGAATATAGAATATAGAATATAGAATATAGAATATAGAATATAGAATATAGAATATAGAATATAGAATATAGAATATAGAATATAGAATATAGAATATAGAATATAGAATATAGAATATAGAATATAGAATATAGAATATAGAATATAGAATATGGAATATAGAATATGGAATATGGAATATGGAATATGGAATATAGAATATGGAATATAGAATATGGAATATAGAATATGGAATATAGAATATGGAATATAGAATATGGAATATAGAATATAGAATATGGAATATAGAATATGGAATATAGAATATGGAATATAGAATATGGAATATAGAATATGGAATATAGAATATGGAATATAGAATATGGAATATAGAATATGGAATATAGAATATGGAATATAGAATATGGAATATAGAATATGGAATATAGAATATGGAATATAGAATATGGAATATAGAATATGGAATATAGAATATGGAATATAGAATATGGAATATAGAATATGGAATATAGAATATAGAATATAGAATATAGAATATAGAATATAGAATATAGAATATAGAATATAGAATATAGAATATAGAATATAGAATATAGAATATAGAGTATAGAATATAGAGTATAGAATATAGAGTATAGAATATAGAGTATAGAATATAGAGTATAGAATATAGAATATAGAATATAGAATATAGAATATAGAATATAGAATATAGAATATAGAATATAGAATATAGAATATAGAATATAGAATATAGAATATAGAATATAGAATATAGAATATAGAATATAGAATATAGAATATAGAATATAGAATATAGAATATAGTATATAGAATATAGAATATAGAGTATAGAATATAGAGTATAGAGTATAGAATATAGAGTATAGAATATAGAGTATAGAATATAGAGTATAGAATATAGAATATAGAATATAGAATATAGAATATAGAATATAGAATATAGAATATAGAATATAGAATATAGAATATAGAATATAGAATATAGAATATAGAATATAGAATATAGAATATAGAATATAGTACATAGAACATAGAACATAGAACATAGAACATAGAACATAGAACATAGAACATAGAACACAGAACATTGAACACAGAACACAGAACATAGAACATAGAACACAGAACATAGAACATAGAACATAGAACATAAAACTTAGAACATAGAACATGGAACATAGAACATAGAACATAGAACATAGAACATAGAACATAGAACATAGAACATAGAACATAGAACATAGAACATAGAACATAGAACATAGAACATAGAACATAGAACATAGAACATAGAACATAGAACATAGAACATAGAACATAGAACATAGAACATAGAACATAGAACATAGAACATAGAACATAGAACATAGAACATAGAACATAGAACATAGAACATAGAACATAGAACATAGAACATAGAACATAGAACATAGAACATAGAACATAGAACATAGAACATAGAACATAGAACATAGAACATAGAACATAGAACATAGAACATAGAACATAGAACATAGAACATAGAACATAGAACATAGAACATAGAACATAGAACATAGAACATAGAACATAGAACATAGAACATAGAACATAGAACATAGAACATAGAACATAGAACATAGAACATAGAACATAGAACATAGAACATAGAACATAGAACATAGAACATAGAACATAGAACATAGAACATAGAACATAGAACATAGAACATAGAACATAGAACATAGAACATAGAACATAGAACATAGAACATAGAACATAGAACATAGAACATAGAACATAGAACATAGAACATAGAACATAGAACATAGAACATAGAACATAGAACATAGAACATAGAACATAGAACATAGAACATAGAACATAGAACATAGAACATAGAACATAGAACATAGAACATAGAACATAGAACATAGAACATAGAACATAGAACATAGAACATAGAACATAGAACATAGAACATAGAACATAGAACATAGAACATAGAACATAGAACATAGAACATAGAACATAGAACATAGAACATAGAACATAAAATATAAAGAATATAAAGAATATAAAGAATATAGAGTGTAGAGTATAGAGTATAGAGTATAGAGTATAGAGTATAGAGTATAGAGTATAGAGTATAGAGTATAGAGTATAGAGTATAGAGTATAGAGTATAGAGTATAGAGTATAGAGTATAGAGTATAGAGTATAGAGTATAGAGTATAGAGTATAGAGTATAGAGTATAGAGTATAGAGTATAGAGTATAGAGTATAGAGTATAGAGTATAGAGTATAGAGTATAGAGTATAGAGTATAGAGTATAGAGTATAGAGTATAGAGTATAGAGTATAGAGTATAGAGTATAGAGTATAGAGTATAGAGTATAGAGTATAGAGTATAGAGTATAGAGTATAGAGTATAGAGTATAGAGTATAGAGTATAGAGTATAGAGTATAGAGTATAGAGTATAGAGTATAGAGTATAGAGTATAGAGTATAGA